CAACTCGATAAGCTTCTCTCAAAGAACTGGAGAAAGACTTGACCTCACAGTGCATTTAAGGTTTCAATCATCACCTCAAAGGAAAAGCAAACCTTCAGCACCTCCCTGAACAATGCTCTTATAAAGCCACATCAGTGAATACATCGCTGAAGCCTCATATTGTGTTGCTTGCACACAAAATATTTTCTGAAAAGGAGAATGATAAATTACAGATACACCAGGATACTCCACGTGCACTAACTTTACCTTTGTTGTCCATACTAATCTTTAAATTCCCTCATTAAGGCCGGGTATCCTTCCAAAAATCTCACATCTATACGATGTGATGTGCAGTGGGGCTCAGGTAGTTTGTGTAAATGTGCAGCCTTAGCCAAGGAAATATGGATTATAACCCCATGAGACAGATACCATTCCCTGAAGCAGCGCACCCTGCAAATTCCCCACTCAACTGCTTTCTGTCCTCAAACAAACCAGTACTTGCCCAAATCCATCTCCATCCCTCTCAGCTTGATATACACTCATGATTCAAAGAAAAATGCTATTCAAGCAAAAACTTTCAAATCTGCATGTCTAGAGAAAGATTCCCGGATCTATATTTAGCCACTTGATTTTCAAAGGTACTTAACACACACAGATTCCACTGACATCAATGGACAGTGTAGCTGGTAAACACCTCTGATATCAGGACATTTTTGTTTAGCTGTTGAAAAAGCAAAATATTATTTTTAATTCCCATATTCTGAGGAATCTGAGCTGTCACTTTAGGCCATTCCCTCCTCATCTTTTCACAGGCTTGTCCTGTTCTCTCACGTAACTCCAACAGTTTGCTTAGATTCATGGCAGCCTACAGCTCCTCAAGAGGGGAGCAAAGGGGCAGCACTGAGCTCTGCTGACAGCAACAGGACCAAGGGAATGACATTGAGCTGTGCTGGGGAGGGTCAGGTTGGCAGTAGGAAAAGATTCTTCACCAGAGGGCATGGGACAGGCTGCCCAGGGCAGTGGTCATGGCCCTGAGCTGCCAGAGATCAAGCATTTGGACAACACTCTCAGGCACAGGGTTTGAATCCTGGGTGGTCCTGTGTGGAGCCAGGAGTTGGATTCAAAGATCCCTGTAGGTCCCTTCCAACTTGGGATTTTCCATCATTCTGTATCTAGGGAGCAGAAAACCAGCAGCAGTTCAAAGAAGTGGGGCAATGGATTTCCACACAGTTGAAGAGGTCCTCAATACCACCATCTTTGAAAATCAGTGTTTTTAGGGCAGAGTAGGGAATGCAACACTTTTGCACTGTCTAACCATTGTTTCTAAGACCACAAATCATCACTTAAGAACCAAGAGCAATTGCCCTCCCTTCTCAGCCTCCAGGGAAGAACACATACCATACTAGAAAAGCAGATTTGAATTATGCTATGACAATGCTGGTGCGGGAACAGAGAAATATGCCATGTGTTTTGTCCAGCATTCTAAATGCCCTCACCACTCACATTTAGGTCTGTGACAGCTGTCTCCTGAGCACGCTGACAGCAATCCTGTCAGTAAATGGCTCCATTTTACAGCTGGAGTGAAACGCTTTTGTATGAAGTCACCACCAGAGAAGGCACTGTGCTCTCCCTCCAGGCAATTAAAGCCTCAAAGAGATTTTAAAAGTTGAGCTGGACTTTGGATTGGCGGAAAAGTAATGAAGACAAAGGAAGACTCTGGGAAATGTGCTAACAGAAACCCTTGTACTTTTTGTGATGGGAAATTACCTTTTCTCCCTTCCTTGTTAGTGAGTGGCTCAGAGGCAGAAGGCATGTGCCAGCAGTTGAGAAGGGGACACAAAACCCAACCTGAAGCATGATGAATGCACATTCCTGCGGCTCACAACTGGAAAGAACAATCCTTCAACAGCTTTAGGAGGCTGATATTCTCCAAGATGCTTTTCCAGAAAAATCCATGCCAAGGACTGGTTGTTAAGAAAATGCAGCACTGTCTATTATTCACTGATACACCTGTGGTGCCACAAATTCTACATGTGGCAATGACATCACTGATCTTGAAATCATACTATTTAAGCAAGTACTAGGATTTTTCTCTCATTTACAAGTAATATTAAATGAAATGTCATGGCTTTTTTGAAAAATAGAAAAGGGGAGGAAGGCTGTAAAGATAATGAAGTACAATGGCTTTTACTCTAAAAAAAACATCACACCACCTAAGAAATACAGTCTACCAAAAGGATGTTCAGATAAAGTATATATCTTTTCCTTTAATGCCCATATTGCATATGAAACACTGGAGCTTAGAGTCTACGCACATATTCATGCACAACCACCAGCTTCTCCTGCAGAAACCTGCTTTTGCTCACAATTTTACTGAGGTACTCTGGTCTCTCTTAAGGTCAAATATACTTTACTAAATGATTAATTGGAAACAAGGGATGCTACCTTTCAAAATACAAAATCACTACATAGCTTAGGTCAACAAAACAATGAAGCTTTTGCTTATCACACAACTGTTGTAAAAAAAGAAAAAAAGTAACTCTAGAGGTCAAGATAATAGTGTAGCGTACAGAGAAAATTATTACAGCCTTCCAGTAGATGTTTCTGCCTGAGGTGAATTACCAGACATATCCTCAGATTAAACTTTCATCAGCAGATAGCTTTATTTCATCAATCTTTCATTATGGCATTGCTTAGAAAATCATCTGGTCAGGTGTCATTAGAAAACCTTTTCATCTTCCAAAGCAAAATCTATGCCTATTTTACTACAAGTAAAACGCAGTTCAAAATGAGAGCTGGTGGATCACTGTGGGTTTCAGAAATGTCAATATAGAGGAAAACATACATTTCTACAGTATTTTAAAATTTTAAAACTTCTTTTCAGAACAAATCTAATTAAATTTTATTATATGGGTTCTTGGAATACAAAATGTTGCTCATTAACGACATTCATGAGCAACATCTTCCAGAAGAGTTTCATGACAGAAAGTAGGACTTTTTCAGCTTCCTAGAAGAGTAATCCACAAAAAAACAGCAGTGCTTTCTTGCTGATATTGCAGCACCCAAACAAGAAAAATTAGAGTTAAGAAGAGTTCAGTTTCAATACAAATTGGCCAAATCCCTCTTCTGATGATGAAAATGTGAGAAAAGATTAGTTCATCTGTTCTACCGCTGTTTCTCTGTTGATGTCCCAAATAAAATCTCTTTTTGTGTAAGCAGTGGAGGAAACTTTTATACTTTGTGACCAAGAGGCAGAACAGGTTTGATGGGGTTATTTTTTAAATTTTTTTAAAACGTGAATGTGTAATTCATATACATATTCCTTACAACTAGGACTTTATTCTTATAAAATAAGTGAGTTTCTGCAAAAATTTCAGCAGAATTGGAATTTATTTTCGGTCCCCAGGTACACTGCAAAACTAGGCAGGGACGGGATCAGAGATGTTATTTACTTGTACATAGCTTTTCATCGGTGTTGGAGGATAACATGGCAAATCTGCAGGTCTGACCTCCTCACACAGTGATGCCCACCAGCTCCTGTCCTACTGATGGGGCTTACATTTCACATTTAGGAAGCAAAAGACACATTTATCTTAGATGCCCCCCTTCAGCATCAATGTTTCTATGACTAGTTCTGCCTTTAGAAGTAGGAATCCAACCTGGATAAATGCGACACATTATTTTATAACCATAACAAAATGATTTACAATTATTTTCGAAAGAAATCTAAGTATTTTAAAAGAGAACTGAAAATTATTCAGAAATGTTAATGAAAAGCAAAGCTAACTTCCTAAGCTGCATCACATTCAGATGTTCCTTAAAATGCTCTTATTTCCTGACCAAAGCAAGCTGCTACAAAATCTGACTTGAAGGGAAACGTGCTCTCATTTTCCAAAGCAAACAAAGCACTGTAATGGTTTATTCATAAGAAGTAAAAAGCTCTTTACTTCCCACCATTTCAAACTGGATTTGCTCTTCTACATCTCCCAAAAATCTGCATCAATGGAAGTGAAAAACAGTAAAATAAAGAAATAAATAATAAATGAACACATCCACACCAGTCGTTCGTAGTAGTAAGAAGTTTAGAAAGACAAAATCAGGTCACAGAAACAATATCTCTCCTCTTGAAAATTTAACCAAAAATAATCAGAAACTTTGTTTTGCAGAATCTTGTACTCAAAAAAAAAAATTCAGGGTTTAAAATGATAATTTTAGTCAAAAGTCAGAGACCAAAATTAGATACTTCCACACTGAGCATCCAAATAACCAAACATAGCCACAAAAACCAGAAGTTCTTTACTATGTCTCAATCCTTAATACTTGGAATAGGTACTGTCTGAAAATTCTGGAATTGCTCTGTGTGAATGGAAACATTTTTGATAGAGACGAAGCACTCACTGAAATAGAGAAACAACTTGCTATCCTGCTCTATAGAAGCCACCTTTACAATCCTGCTCCTGCAGCCAGTGTTGCGTGGAAAGCAAGATTGTTTCCAAAAGACCAGTCAGGAATGAGAGCTACTGCAACAGAGGTTCCAGTTCGGGAAGGCCTTGAAGCACGCATTTGGGATTGCTCCTTATGACAAGAGAATCAATCAAACTTTTCCTTTAGTCAAATCAAATATGTCAAGAAAATGGAAAAAACACATACAAGTCATGGAAAAATGAGGAGCCATGTGAAATATTGGGCCATGTTTGTAAACATGGTTTACTGTAAAAAAAAGCATTACAACATAAATGAAGTAAAGTTGCACATGCAGTTTTATGCATACAGCTGAAATCATCTAAAATGCTTGCTCAACACAGGTTTAACAAAACAGAATATCAGTGATACATTATGAAAAGTAGAAATTAAAAAAAAAAAAAAAAAAGCACAGGTAAGATAAAGAAGAATTTGCCCTTCCTCTCATTCCTCATTACTCAATAGGTTTCTATGTGACTTACTCCTGGCATATCTATACTTGGTATCAGCAAGACACAAAAAGCACAAAATCAGTAGGAACAAAGAGAGTGCAGACTCACCGGCCATTGTCACGACCCACTCCCCAAACTCTGATGCTCACTATGGGCTGTGAATGAAGAACTGTACGATCCATGGGGTCGATCAGGTTCAGCATGTCATTTTCCAATATCAGGTACATATCTTTGCCCTGCAACTCCAGAAAATGTAGAGTTATGGAGCATGTCCTCCTCTCAAACTGGTTAGTATTAAGGAGTTATGCCTACATTGTTAAGCCTTGCATCCTCTAAATTGATGCCAAGTTACAGTTTGTTCCAAAAGCAATTAAGAACATGTTTGCTCAGTTCCAACATGAAAAAGACCTAAGACAGCATTCTGCTACTAATGTATTTTTAAAAGATCCCAATCACAAAAAGCTAACTTTTAAATGCAACTGTTTGACTCATTTAAATGCAAGCTAGTGAGTTATTCAACAAATCATTAGTTTATCCTATCTTCAATACATTCTTTCAAATATAGGAGAACCATGTTACTGGTAAATGTTTGCATGAGTCCCCATCCACACCTAGGGCAGAGCTCCCTCTCTCACACAGTACGTGCTTTGTTTCCATAAACTTTAGTCAATGGGCCACGGGAACAGGCAGCTATTTGCATGCTGTCTTTCACTTATATGATAATCTTTAAAGAAAGATTTAAAGAGGAAAACCTAGTAGTGAGGAATGAACAAAAATTCTGCCAGCGACTGCAGAATCCTGGAGCCAGGGTTTCTCGCTAACTCTTCTGGTGCCTAAGAACAAGGAGAATGCTTATTCCCGTAGAGGAAACAAATTTAGAAGCAATTTTCCTTTTGATGCTAATTCACAAATGCTAATCTTCCTCCTATTGCTAGCATCTGCAAAAAGTCTGCTGCTTCTTCTGCCACATCTAATAGTTCTCTTCTCAGAGACTGCAGACTGTGGAATCTCATGGAAATGATCCTGGACCCACAGTTGAGACTTAAGACAAGCTCCTGCTGATAAAAAGGAGGGAACTATGAGCTAAATATGAAGTAATTTCTTTCTCCTCTATTGTGCTAGAATCTATAAATGAACAGAAAGAATGGAAAAGCTCTGACTTCCCACTGACAAATGTTTCAGAAATGACCCTTTTCTTCACCTCAATGACACAGAAACCCTCTCTCTGCCTGCTTACTGTGGTTCAAGTTTTTATGATGTATGATTTTTGTGTTTTTACATGACATACACTGATGCCACTCTGACCTCAGGGAATCAAGGGCAGTTCTGGGAGAGGCAGACACTGCCCACTGATGGGGGGAAGATGGTAAACCACAGGTGTTGAATCACAGGTGCCCAGTTTTTGCTTTCTGCCTGTCATGGGGCTGATCACTTCTTCCAGCCCCAAATCCCCTAATGAGCATTCAAAGGGCACTGTGACACAAAGCTTGCAACACAAGTATTGAGAGGGGTGCAGGAGGGGAAAGGGATGTGGGCTGGTATGCAGCCTGGTGCCTACACAAAGATGTTGTTTAGCTGTACTAACCATGTGTGTAAATGAGACAAAAACATGGGAAACAAAACAAGCTAGGATAGCATAGGTGGATGGGAATGATGATGAAACCGAACAGAAAACAGAATAACCACAAAGAAAAAGAGCAAGAAATGTGCTTGGAAGTCAGAAGCAGTAAACGGTTTGTGCAAAGAATATTACCAAGTGTTAAGATTGCTTTTTGGACCCATTTTCTACTTATGTATTTATTCCAGAAGGAAATTATTACAAGAAGGTAAAATCTGTTCATCATGCAAAATACATTGGGATTACAGTAATAAAATGAAATCCAAATTAGCTGGAAAAGATTGAAGAATGGGCAGATAAGTAACATAAGTCAATTATCCTTGCAGCGCTCAAGGGATAGATTAGCTGCAGCCAGAAGCAATATATTTTGCTAAGTTTTGTTGCTTTATATACTGAAGCTATTTCAAAGATGGAAATACCACACAGGGCATGAAGAAAAGATTCAGACACATGGGGAGCTCGAACATGACTGTCTCAGATGGCTGAATAGCTGCAGAGACCTGAAGCTGCGTGCTGAGGATGGCTCTCACAGGAAGAATCAGGAAGGGAAAGTGAATATAGGAAAGACTCAGGTCCAACAGGCTTCAGGGAGGTGCTATGTATGGTGGTTTACAGGCCAATAGCAACAATAAGTCTTGTTTATGTAAATGACTTTATGAGGTAGAAGAATGTAATGCATGGCAAAGTAGCAAAACAAATGAGCTTTTTTCTTTCTTTCTTTCTTTTTTTTTTTTTTTACATCATAGAGAACTGCAGAAGTTAGAAACTTACACAGATCTTCTTTCAAAGATGACAGGAAATCTCACATTAAAGCCAGTGACAAAGCTTCTATAGGGTCAGAATTTTATTCAGGGTGATTTGCTGTTCTATTTCTTGATTTTTTAATCATGAAAACATGGGATGATCCTAGTCTCAATTTCACTTTCATTACATTCTAGCTAAAATAAATCTTGAGGCAATCTTAAAACCCCTATGTGCAGCCATCAGCCCTAGCTTTGTAATAGATTTCTGCTGTATGTGCTCTATGTGATGTGTCAGTGATAACCACGTGCTTTCCAGATTCCTCTCTAAACTGTGCCTCTTCCAATCACTCTTGAAATACCACCTTGGCAGCCGAAAAAAATGTAACGATTTCTTTTAAAAATCAAGATGGCAATTTACTTCAGAGGCCACCAATTCAAGCACGGTGTCTCTACTGTTTCATTGTTTTAATGTTTACTTTTTAAATGAAAATTAAAAATAATTAATTAAAAATTCCTTTCAAGAGGACACAACTTTTCACCAGCTTGGTTTGAAAACTCACAAGTTCTGAATAAAAACCAATGCGATTGAGAGAGAAGAATATGGAAAAACATGAGTATTAACTCCTAAAACAAAGTAAAACATGACTTTGAAGTGATATATTTCAAGTTGATTAAAGTTCTGTCATCTTAAAAATGGATGGGATTACAAACTAGCAAAGAGGGTAGTAAACAGAACTGAGCTCTCTGCTTTTTCCTCAGTTTGTGGGAATTCAATATCCATCAAAGTTGAGGAACATTGGTCAATGCTTTCAAGAGTTATTGGAGAGGAAACAGCAGAGAAATTAATGAAATTCATTTCCTTCTCAAAGACTGATATGTAATCATCTTAAAATAAGTCATCTGTCCATCATTCTCAATTTCATCAGACATGTTAGAAGCATGGTCACAGCAGTCTGGGTTTTCTTAAAGCCCTTTGTCACTGGGAAGCATGTGACAGTGTTTTCCAGAGCATCACTCTAAAACCTCTGGCCAGAAGGATTCCACTGGATTCAACAGTTTTGCTTGTGTGTCTACAACTCTGCTTCCACACAGGTGCGTATAGTGAAGATGTAAACATTAAAGGGATGTCTCTGGGGGTACCTGTTGTCCTGAGAAGTTTGGAACAAACATGTCAGCACTGTCCTTGAACAGTTCCAACAGAGCTAACTGGGATAGGGAAATCTAAACACAGAATATGGAAATATTTGTCTTTAGAGTTGTTCTTTCAAACTATTTTACAGCACAAGAAGCATATTCCAAGAGTTGAAGTTCACATATTCTTACCTCTCCCCAAATGCCAACAGTGTCTCTGATGTCATTTTTACAGTAAGAGAGTTGTCTGATGCAATTGTTCACAGCAACACTACTTTTTCCAGGAGCAAGATCTTCTTCTGCCATTTCTACCCAGCCCAGAGAGCGCACAGCAAAGCACTAAAAAGAAACAAAAAAATATCTGAATGTTGATCATAGCACACAATATTGACTGCTATGACAAACACACACACATAGGAATAATGGAAAAACCCTAGCCATAGATAGAATACAAAGGAAAGTTAAGCTATTGGAGCTTATTGGACTATGTATGTTGCAAAAATCACATTCACAGTATATCTCTACCTTGTAAAGATATATGTCTACAGTATATCTACGTATACAGACAGTGTATGTCTACCTTTTAAGCAGAAACTAATTTTTTTTGTAGATTACAGCAATCATTTTTATAGAAAACTTAAGTAAGGTAGTTAACAATAAGCAAATCAAAGCCTAAACAAAACAATAAAATATCGTAACAGAAAAGCAGGCTTTTTTCCAGAAGAAATTAAAAATGACCTTTAATACAAAACTAATTATATAGTTCTTTAAGCAGAAGGATGTTTAGCCAACCAGAGCACTGAGTTGGCAGAACAATCCAAGGCAGTATTACTTTGCACATATGGTGCTTTTTGCAAGCAAAACAGAATGGGAGGAATTCAATGGCACTATCTTTACCCTACAGGATTTTAGTGGGGAAGAGAAAAAGAAAAAATTAATTTTTGAAAAACAAGCACAAACCAAACCACATTTGCTCTCAAGGTTTTACAGTGGGTTAAATACAGGCTTGATGCTAAATCAGTGTAAGCTTGTGTATGAGACCAAGATTTGACCCAGAGAACATTGTGAGTACATCATTCTCAAGCTGCCATGCACTGCCAGCAAAAGATGCACAACAGATGTACCTTCCTAACAGGTATGCCACACTTCTGTGATGGTCCCTAAAAGGTTCATCAATAATAGTTCCTGAGCCAATATCCAATTCCTGCTACTTTCTAGGTATCTACATGGCAGCAGACCAAATCCCATCCCATCTTTTCAATCCAGTTTTGCTGGAGTAACAAAAAGAAGCTTTTTAATTGAGTCAGTGAGTGGGTGGTGTCCCATGCTGACATGGAGCTGCACTCCTTGCATTCAAACCATGATACTGCTCTGTGGAGGTGCAGGATTTTGTGGCATATGTTATAAAAGCAGAACTGAGACAATTTGGCATTAATCACTGAAAATCTGCTGTAGTGTATCTTTTTTTTTTTCATCCTCTGCCTCCCCTTTCCAGAGCGGATCAAGGTTGTAACTTAATTACTACTCAGTCCTTGGTTCCTTGGTACTCTGCTTTGACATGTTTCTTTGGAAATGTAAGCGTCCTTAATTCTACGTTGTTCTGGCAAACTGACTCACAACTGTTTCAGGAAATCTGATTCCCTGTTAGGTCTGGGCACAATGCTGACCCTGTGATGGCAGAGGCCAGCACTCAGTGCCCAGCGCTGCTCTGAGACACAGTAAAAAAATCAGCATGTAGTGCTAAAGCAGATGCTGAATGTTCATTTGTTTTCTCCTAAAAAGCGCTGAGAGGTCAGCATGCAGCCTGCCTCCTGCACCCCTGGAATTACTCCGACCACATATAGCAGTGCATCTCAACAAAGGCAGCAGCCAACAAAAACCAAAGCTCCCACGCTTCCACATTTTCATTAGCTTTCCCTTCCCCCCAAGAAAGAAGGGAACTAATGTGCAAATTCTCCTCCTATGCAGCCTGCTGGAAAACCACAAAAGCACTGACTTTCAGGTAAAAAACAGACAAGGGAGAAGGGAGGAGATAATGGAGGAGTCACCACTGAAGGGTTCTCTTCACTTCAGGGCTACACAAGGTACTTGGACAACCACTTCTTAGCAATTATTAAGGTCACCCAATCGTAAGACTGCAGAATTATTTTTGGCACATCAGATGCTCATGAATCTTGCTGAAAGTGCTGTGATGCCCATTGGGGTATTAAATATTTATATTTGCAAGTTTTTTAAATACAGAATTTTTACTGTGCCAGAAGGTTGTTCTGTTGTTTTTATTTTAACATATATTTCAATACTGCATTGAATCACAGAATATTAGCAGAGAGAAAAATTTTCTAAATCAGCTTGGAAGTTAAAAACTAAATATATGTAATAAACACATTATTTCCTTATTATTTTCCATATCTCAATCTGCAATACGTAAGCAGATTTCAAACTACAGAGATAAAAACAGCTGCACTAAATGGAGTATATCTTAAGCAGTTCAGGTTGACAGCAAGCACACTTCTTATGAGTAAAGATGGTGAACTGTTTGTTTTTGTTGTATTTTTTTTTCCCCTTGGGCACTTTTATTCTAATGTTGAATTCTCCAGTGCTGGTACCTGCTGTATTTCTTTCCCTTTGCAGCTCACTGTCATGACAGCAGAGCAAGCTGAATGGGACTCAGTTGTCCATTCCATGTATTCCATGCAGAACAATTTGGATCCTCTCCTGTCTCCAGTCCTTCTCAGTGTGTCCAGGCCAGGTATGTGGGGGAAAACCAGTTGGCTTCTGGCACCTGGCAAATCTTTGTTTATGTGTTTTATAAGCAGCTCTTATCATTAACCAAATTAAATGTATCACAACAACTTTATCAATGACTCTCTACAAACAAAAAAGCAGACCTCTTAGTAAAACCCAGAAAGATGCAACACTGCCTACGAAGTAGCATGATGCCTGTGGCTCTAAGCAAACACAAACAAGTGTGCTTGCTTGCTCCAAACAAACCTGAAGAAGAAAACTCTTCTTGGTTGGCTCCAACACGTTGGTGTGACTCAGACATAGACTTTCACGCAGATTTCTGTACTAAGTAATATGAGTAACGTACATTACATACCACAGCTCATTTATCATCAGCCTAATAGACAATAAAAGCATATAACACATACACATATACTAGGGGGATGGTAGAAAAAGTGGGTGCATGCACGCTGCATTCCCCTCTCTGTGCACTGTAAGATTTTTAAAGGTACTGGCAAAAGATCCACTCTGTGTTTTACTCGTTTGTTTGTTTGTTGCAGGGATTTTGCTTGTTTTCTTAATTATTTGGCTTAGAGGTACTCTTTAAAACAAAAGAAAACAAAACCCAACATAAACAATCCACCCAGTCTCTCCCTTCAGGTATGACCTAGTTCTTAAATTAGGGTCAGCTGAGTTAGCGATGACAGCACCATTGCTTTCTTAGCACTGTAATGTGGCATCACAGCTCCTCAGCTCCCATCAGCCACATTTACTAGCCAAGAGAGAAAATGCTGCCTTTGAGTAGAGTGAGCTCGGCTAATGTACCCTCTTTTCTCCTGGAACTAATGTGTGCAGTCACAGCCAGCCACGCTGAAAAGCACTGAGGGCAGCTCTCCTTGGCTAAGAGTTGATGAGCTCATTAAAGCAGCCATCCCTGGTAACTTCAGCTAGTTAACTATCCCTGCTCAATGCTCACAGCTAATTATTGGCAAATCATAATTTCAAGGTAGTCCAGAAGCTAACTTCTGGCCTACAGTAGACTCCCTCTTTTTCTTTCACAGGGAGTTAACAAATAGCCTTTATATCACGTTACATATTTTTACAATTAACTTACAAAATAACATCATATCATTTTCTCTTCCAGGTCAGGACACTCTGCATTATCTTACATTTTGATGTCTAAAAAGAACAATTTGGAAAAATGTATCTGAATAAATAGAACAGGATTTTCCTGCCTGCATTAATCCAGTGTCCCCAGACTCTTTCCAAGAGCTGCAAAAAAAACTAGGTCTGAAGCAAAGTAAAGAAAGCTGAAGAACACAGCAGGAAAAAAGGCAGACTTAGGAATGGTGCACTGTATGGGGATCACATGGACATCGCTTTATGCTTGGTTTGGCTGGAAGTTGGGAGAGGATGTGCAGGGGGAATGCTTGCTCCTCATCCCAACTGTGTCTTTCAGAAATCTTATCTGATTCTATGAGCACAGCATGTCTGAGGCAGCTAAATGCAAATGTTTAAATTGCAGTATGACAACAATCTTGTACTTTCATCTCAGGTACAGACTTCACTTTTCCTGTCAGGCAGTGCATAGGGTGTGCTGCAAGAAAAGACAGCCAAAGAAAGCCACCTGAATGTACTCTGCCCCATGAAGAAACAGATGAGCAGAAAGGAAAACACAGAAATCCCCACCCAGTTTCCCAGTTCCAGGGACCATAGATGCAAATCTAATTAATGTTCTAATTAATGTTAATGGCCTGTAGTCAAAGAATCAAACTCATAAACGATGTTATCTAAGCTTTGTAAAACACTGTAAACCTCTCTGGCAGTGCAGGTCAGCCCTGAAACATCCCCCCAGGCTGAGGTTTGAATGAGTTCAGTGAATGGTGGTCCATGCTCCTGCTCTTTGCTGTCACAGACCACTCCACTACCAGGTATGGTTCTGCTCCGTGAGAGCTCTTTCAGTGGGAGCACCAGGAAGAGCTTTTACGGGTACGTGGAATCATGATGCATCTCTGCACACAAGCAAATGCACATTCTAGCTGTCACAGTGCTAAACAGGTACTGTTAGAAAAAAAAAAAAAAAGTATCAGGAAAACTAAAGTAAATACAATCTTCCACTAGGCAGAGGCCAAGAGATCAATTTTGCAAGACTGAAGACAGAGTAGTAAGGGAAATTGGACTGATCATAAGGGCATGGGAAGACCAGATCAAATGACAAGGAAAAATTACATTAGAACATCAGCTTGAAAACAACAAACTAAGGGACATGCCTAAAACACAGATTAAAAACAATCTAAATTGCTTTTAGATTTTTTTTTTTTTTTAACCACACAGCTGCTGGTATCCACTGTGAAAAACTATGTTTGAGTGTATGTTCATCGGGGATTTAAATCTATGCTATTAATTTCTTCTCTACTTCCACAGGAGTTTAATATGTGCAATTTTCTTTTGTTTCCCTTCATGCTTTTCCTTTTTAAAGGTTATATCTGTCTGCAGATAAACATACGAGTAAATCATTACAGCATCTAATAAGGTCTTTTATCACAGGCCACTGAGCAGACTTGTGCCTGTGCCGCAGCATGTAGGTCACGTAATTAACTGCTTCTTGTGCAGCC